TGTAGGATTTCACCTGCTGGAAGCTCGGGGGTGAAAGGTCATGGCCTAACAGGAAAATTGTGGTGGGTGCATGGGCGGAGGAGGAAACAATCATGCTGCTCCTGGCAGGGCGTCACACTCTGGGACCTGTGGCTTACCAGGCAATGCAGCATAGGGTGCTGGGCAGTTTACTGAGAGGCATAACTTGCCTGGCTCTACTTGGCCTTGCTGGATCTTTGCGTGAGGCCAGAAAACGGAGCATGACCATGTGTTAGAATGTTTCCACAGACATGATCTCAAGCCTGGTTTTAGTACAGCTGGGTCCTTACTGATATTAACAGAGACCAGAGCTGGATTTGCACTTTCCTATCTTATATATCCTGTGGCATTTCCAAAATACAATTCTTTGGTAAAATATGTTCCACACAAATATCTCCATGGAGTGAGGGAGCCCTTGCTAGGAGGGTGCTGTAAAGAACTACAAAGAACTACATGGGGCAAAAAATAAATCCTTAGAACTACGGAAGTTTTCTGAGCTTGGAAATTCACTCCTGCTCCTTGGAAAGTAATTTCTAAGTGGGGAGGACTCTATCTCTTCGTCTGTTAAATGGCCATGAAAATTACACCATAAGGAGTATGTGGAAAATAAATGAGCAGACACCAAGCACAATCCCAGCCCATAGGAAGCACTCAATATATTTTAACTCAATTATTCTATTATTCTGGCCTGGCAGGTGCTGGCCTCTGTCTTATTACCAGTTCCCACACTAACTTGCTATGTGACCTTGACCAAATGAGTTTACCTCTCTGGACTTCAGTTCTTTCACCTGTGTCTCACAGTGGTGTTCTGGAGCCCCTGTAGGTTCTGTCTAATTGCCTGAGACTCGGGGGGGATAGGAAAGGGGATGAGGACTGGGCCTGCAACCTGCGCAGCTTCCATTTTCTGACTCTGTACTTCTGTGCTATCTCACTTGAACAAAGTCTTCTGGGTCTTCAAAAAAAAGTTTTCCAACCACTGGTGAGGTCTAAATCCCCTTCTAGATCTAATACATATATACTTTTATTGATTTCAGAGAGGAAGGGAGAGGGAAAGAGAGATAGAAACTTCAATGATGAGAGAGAATCATTGATTGGCTGCCTCCTGCATGCCCCCTACTAGGGATTGAGCTTGCAACCAAGGCATATGCCCTGACTGGGAATCAAACTGTAGACCTCCTGGTTCATAGTTTGATGCTCAACCACTGAGTCACACCGGCTGGGCTAGATCTAATATTTTTTCAGAGCAGACGCTCATGGTTCATCCTCCCCTCAGACAGATATTAGCTGTAGACCAGGTGGTCACACCAGGCCCTGCTGCTCCTGGAAAGCCCCACCCTTTCCCATACAGTTCCTCCCACCTCAGTGCTCTTCCTCCCCACTGTGTGCTGCTGTAATCCTACCTGTTCAATCGGCACATTCTTTGATTGCTGGGGTCATGAAAAACCCACCTCTCCCCCACTTCCTCCAGAAGGCCTCCAGCCTTTTGTTTATACCTCTGTCACATTTGCTCTTGGAGTCATTTATGGGAATGTCTTACATCCTCTACCCGATCATAAGTCTTAGAAGGGCAGAAACTCACTCTGAGGACTTTTGTGTGTGTAAATAGTGGGTGCTCAATCAATGCTGATTGAAGAGATGGCTGGATGGGACCGAACACCAGGTTTTAGAACCACTGGGTAAATTTTTTCTATCCTTGGACAAACTCGGGAAAAAATTATTTTTAAATTTACAGAACCAAGATGGCGGCATAGGTTAACGCCGGAGTTTGCTGCTTTGAACAACTACTTCAAAAGTGAAACTAAAAGACGGAACAAACATCACCCAGAACCACAGGAACGCTGGCTGAGTGGAAGTCCTACAACTAGGAGGAAAGAGAAACGCATACGGATACTCAGAGGAGGCGCAGTGCTGAAGTCAAATTCTGAGGTGCGGAGTGCGCAGAGCGGGCTGGCGGCGGAGGGCGCGGTTGGCGTTTACAATCGGGAGGGAGTCGAAGACTCTGAGCTTCAGATACAGGCGAGTCTTTAGGGACCCAGACTCAAACGGGAGAAGCGGGACTGTCTGGCTTCGGTCAGAGCGAGTGCAGCTTTCTCTCTGAGCTTTGCAGCGGGTGCTGGGACTCAGAGAGGCAGAGCCCCTGGGGACAGGACTGAGAGCCGCCATAACTGCTCTCTCCGGCCCACCCTGTTGATCCTGTGCGACCCGCCCCGCCAAGCCCTGCACACAGGCATTTGCCGGATAGCCTCAGGCAAAGGCTAGATTAGCACCTCCCTAGAGGACAGAAGTTCTCTCACTGCTGACACAGCTGATTCTCATAGCCACTTGGCCTGGAGGTCAAACCCTCCCTGGAATTAGCTACAACAATCAAGATTTAACTATAAGACTTCGAACAAAGACCACTAGGGGGTGCACCAAGGAAGCATAACAAAATGCGGAGACAAAGAAACAGGACAAAATTGTCAATGGAAGATATAGAGTTCAGAACCACACTTTTAAGGTCTCTCAAGAACTGTTTAGAAGCCGCCGATAAACTTAATGAGATCTACAAGAAAACTAATGAGACCCTCGATCTTATATTGGGGAACCAACTAGAAATTAAGCATACACGGACTGAAATAACGAATATTATACAGACTCCCGACAGCAGACCAGAGGAGCGCAAGAATCAAGTCAATGATTTGAAATGCGAGGAAGCAAAAAACACCCAACCGGAAAAGCAAAATGAAAAAAGAATCCAAAAATGCGAGGATAGTGTAAGGAGCCTCTGGGACAGCTTCAAGCGTACCAACATCAGAATTATAGGGGTGCCAGAAGATGAGAGAGAGCAAGATATTGAAAACCTATTTGAAGAAATAATGACAGAAAACTTCCCCTACCTGGTGAAAGAAATGGACTTACAGGTCCAAGAAGCACGGAGAACCCCAAACAAAAGGAATCCAAAGAGGACCACACCAAGACACATCATAATTAAAATGCCAAGAGCAAAAGATAAAGAGAGAATCTTAAAAACAGCAAGAGAAAGAAACTCAGTTACCTACAAGGGAATACCCATACGACTTTCAGCTGATTTCTCAACAGAAACTTTGCAGGCCAGAAGGGAGTGGCAAGAAATATTCAAAGTGATGAATACCAAGAACCTACAACCAAGATTACTTTATCCAGCAAAGCTATCATTCAGAATTGAAGGTCAGATAAAGAGCTTCACAGATAAGGAAAAGCTAAAGGAGTTCATCACCACCAAACCAGGATTATATGAAATGCTGAAAGGTATCCTTTAAGAAGAGGAAGAGGAAGAAAAAGGTAAAGATACAAATTATGAACAACAAATATGCATCTATCAACAAGTGAATCTAAGAATCAAGTGAACAAATAATCTGATGAACAGAATGAACTGTTGATTATAATAGAATCAGGGACATAGAAAGGGAATGGACTGACTATTCCTGGGGGGGAAAGGGGTGTGGGAGATTCGGGAAGAGACTGGACAAAAATCGTGCACCTATAGATGAGGACAGTGGGTGGGGAGTGAGGGCGGAGGGTGGGGCGGGAACTGGGAGGAGGGGAGTTATGGGGGGGGAAAAAAGAGGAACAAATGTAATAATCTGAACAATAAAGATTTAATTAAAAAAAAAAAAAAAAAAAAAAAAAAAAAAAAAAAAAAAAAAAAAAAAAAAAAAAAAAAAAAAAAAAAAAAAAAAAAAAAAAAAAATAAATTTACTAGTAACTGGTCTCCCTCCAAAGAATAAATAGGTTAATATAAATATTTCTAAACAAGTTAATGAGTTAGCAATTACAGAGCAAAGCCGACAGCATGCCTGATGTAGTAAATGCAACCCCGAGAAAGCGGATACTACATTTTACTCTGATGACAGCTTCAGGAACCTGAGGGCACCACCTGAATTCGCACAGAAGGAGGCACCTAGCAGAATGCTTACAAGCGCTGTTCTCCACGTCAGAAAGACAAGTTTGAATACAAAATCCTACTTGGTCATTTTCTTAATCTCTAGGACTCATTTTTCTTATCTGTAACACAGGCATATGATAATAGTTGTTGGAAAGAGAGAGTTACTTTTGACAGTAGCCTGTGTTTGGCACATAGTGAGTGCTCAAAATATGCAAGTTATTATTTAACAACAACAACAAAACCAATATAGATAAAAGAAATGAGCAAGGAGAAACTTGATAGCACTAAATCGCATGCAATACAGTGGTTATCTTTACAAGAAAATAACAAGGGGCAGAATTCTCAATAGCAGAATTTCAAACCACTAAGGATTATTTAAGCAACTGACATCCTCAGGCACATCAGCATCATGAGGCTCCCAAAACTGAATCCACAGTTGTCCTGCATTTTCCTAGTTCTTAAGTGGACTTGGAAAGCCTGTGTGATCTGGCCTTACTCCCAGCACTTTCCTCTTCACTCAGGTGGCTCCGTCACCCTGTCCTCCTCACAGGTCCTTTAATGCACCAAGCGTGTTCTCTCCGCAGGGTGCTTCCACTTGCTCTACCTCTGCCTGGATTAGGTACCCCTCGCTATCCATGTGGCAAGACCCACCCCCACCCCGTTCTTCACATCAATGCTCACAGGTCATCTCATCAGAGAGGCCTTCCCTAACACTCCTCCCCTCCCCCTCAACATCACCATCTCCGTCACTTTGCCCTGCTTTAGTTGTCTTCACATTTGTCACCACCTGACATTTTATATATCTTTATTTGTTTCCCTGGTTCTTGTCCGCTTCTCCCACCTTGAGTATAGGGTCCATGACACTAGGGACTCTGACGGCTCTATTCATTGTGCAACAACATCTCTGCCCAGCACAGAGACATCAAGTGTGGTCCACAAAGAGTAGCTAAGTGAAAGAATGAATGACTGCCAGCCTGGGTGATACCATGGGAGGATACCATGGAATCTGCTATTCATTTTTTAAATTTTCTCTTTGGGAGCGATGCAGCTACCCACTCATTTGGGTCAAGAGTCTTACCCTATTAGCACAGAAGCAGGAGCAACGATTTGCACAGGCTCTAGATCGGTGAGGTTGTCAGTATTTACAACAAAGAGCTTTACAGTTGGATTCTTAGCTCCTGCCTAGGAAAAAGCAATCACAGGATTGGTATTGACAAAAAATACAACATCATTGCACAAGTTTAAAACTGTACAAAAATGTCTGCATTACAGCCATAAAATTATAACAATCAGACACATTCAAATAATTTAATGTAGATAAAATGAACATAAGGGAGGGTCATGAAATGCAACCTTTTCATGTTCAGTCAGAAATATATAGAGACCCCAAACACTCCTGTTTAATTAATAAATATTCATAATTTATGTATACTTTATGCAGACAAGGATACATTTCTTAAAATCATTTCTGATATTTTGCAAATATATCCTGACTCCAGAAGACAAGAAGTCAACTGGCTGACCACTAGGAAAAATTCCTTGGGTTCAGCCAAAGACACAATCCACCAGGAAAATTAGTTTCCCTGAGATGAGAGCCAATAATGCTAATTAGGAAGCTGTCATTTTCACTCCAAATTCAGGTTCACCACGTTGGAGCTTTACAATAAATAGCATGACAGAAATCTATAAAACCTTCTTATATACACACATAGATCCTCAACTGACAAATTAGCTAGAAATAATGTATTTTTAGTAAGAACATTTTATGGTTTGTTTGTTTTTTTGCCAGTTTCACTCATCAAAAATTACATTTCACTGAAAATACATCTCCATATTTAGTCTCTGATCTTTTTTTCTCTGTCTTCCTAAAATGGCAGCTCTTCATAAAACAAATTGAGGGAGTTGGTAAAAATAAAAATCCCTTTTTCCAAATTGCTTACAGCAAAACAGCACTTTACTATTACATTTTCCTATGGACAATACGGTGGCCATTATTATTATGATACTAGTGAAGAATTGTAGTTCTTCTAAATTCCCCTCTTCCTTAGCTTACACTGCTGAAGGGAGCTTTTCAATTTTCATAAACATGCATCCGGAGGGGGAGAACAGCCTTGAGAACCAAGACATGACACTATTATTCCAAATGTAGGATGTGTGAAATTAGCACTAGTGCCAAATCTATAATAGAACCACTAAAACTAGTCTTGTATCTGTTAATTAGTAATACAACCTGATATATAATCAAGCTTTTCAACTTCATCTAGGGCACATTCCAACTTCCACAAATGAGATGAGCTTGTGATTCAATTATAGCCTCTCTTTTCCTCCATTCAAACATTTTCAGTCCCCCTACCTCTTTTAAAAGCATTTCCCCCATCTTTTTCGGCTTGTCATTCCTCAAAGTTTTTGGAGAAATTACAAAACCTTAAATCACACTCTTTCCTGGGATAATAAAAATACTTTAAAATTGCCAGATGCTGTTGACTTCAGCAAGGGTAATCACAGCAAGCTGTTGAAGAGAGACTGACAATATTTTCATTAGCAGGAAAGGATTAAATGAAACCATTCTCTTCCCATCAAATCACAGAACTGCTATATGAATAGGAGCACAGACCTTTGGATATGGAATGTGGATAGTCTTTGGGTACTGCAGCGACTCGTCCAAGTAGACAGAGTATTCAATACGTGGGACGTCGGTGTCGTTAAACTGGGCATATGCTAAAAATGTGCCGTTTGGAGACCACCACAGAGCAGAGTGGGTACTGAAGATTTCCTCTGAAAAGAGACATAAATTGTTCTGTTACAAGAAGTAGATGATACATTGGCTTTGGCATTCAAAATATTGTTCTCATTAGCTTTAGTTAATTACAGTAGAGTTCAACTAATGAACCACTTTGCATTTGCTGGGCTTCCAAAATCAGAGTAATACAAATGAATAAAAATAAAATCTTCAAGGATAGATCTGGGCTATAAAAATAAGTAACCCGTTGGACTGTTTTTAGAATATTTTAGCACATAATATTTAATATAAGCTCTACATGTTTTTCTTTATCTTATAATCCTCTAAATTTATGCTGCAAAACATACTCAAAGTAAATTTCACATAAGGGGCTGATCCTCCTTTCTCATTTTCAAACCGTCAACATGCCAGCATACTCTCCCCAACTGGGTGGGTGGTGTGTGGCTCTATGCTATTAAACCAATATGGTGCCTAGAGTTTACTACTCTTGGCACAAACAAGGTGAGGGAAGGATAGATTTAGAGTGGTGAGGAGCCCCATGAGACCCCTACTCAGAAACATCTCCTTCACCTAACCCAGTGGTCGGCAAACCGCGGCTCGCGAGCCACATGCGACTCTTTGGCCCCGTGGCATGGGCCACGAAGTTTCAATCGCACTGTACGTGCACACCCACACGTGGTATTTTGTGGAAGGGTCACACTCAAGAGGCCAGTTTGCCGACCACTGGCCTAACCTGAAGAAACTGAAGACTCCCTTGGATTAACACCCTCCTCTGATGTTTAAGATGATGGGTGAGGAAAGAGGGTCAAAGAGGAATGCAAAGGAAAGGAAAGGTCTTGATTTCCAAAACACTCTTGGCCTAGTTCTCACTCTCTGGCAAAGGTAGCTCCTTCCTGTGTTTATTATCAAGTCTGTTCATGGGACTTCCAACTACTAGTTGTGAAAATGCCAGAACCTCTTTTATCAACTGGGGATGGAGGGTTCAAGTAGACTAGATAGAGACTCCTAGTTCTTTATGCAGATTTAAACCACAAATCTTATGTTCTGATGTGAATATAAAGGTAAAAACAAAGGCATAGAAACTTGAATCTTAGAATTAGGAAACTATTTATCCCAATCACTTTTCTGATTCCTGGGTCTTCCTTACAAGTTTCTTCCAAATGCTCGTTTTCAATAATAACAATAATAGTAGTAGTTACAGTATTAATAATAACAATAATAAAGTACAATACTATTAAGATGAGCAGCAGCATATAATGAATGCACCAGGAATTGAAAAGCAACTGACATCTGTTATCTCAGTTAATCCTCATGATAATTCATTGTGTGCAGATGAGCAAAGGGAGGCAGTTAGGCTTGAAGAGAATAAGTAATTTGTCCAGGATCACGCAGGCAACAATTGATAAAATTAAGAATAAATCCAGGCTTATTTGGTATGAGTCCATGCTTTTCATTTCCATGCTCTGCTATGTCTTCCTACTTATTTCAGCATCTCTAGTAACAGAGAACCTTCTTCTTGATTAGGAAGCCTGCTCCCCCTTTGACTGCTTTATACCTATATTGTTGACTTACATTTATGTAGCAATTTAGAATTTACAAACCACTTATCTAATTTAGTCTTCACAAAGATCCATGGGAGAGTCTATTCATAGCCCATTTTACAGAAAACTAAGGCAGAGAAGGACTGAGTGAATTAGGATGCAGGCCTTGTGATTCCAAGTCAAGGATATTTTGCACTAAGAACTTCATTATACCGAACTGATGTCTCACTACTTGTGGCCTCTACCCATTGGTTCTAGTCTAAGATCAAGATGCAAATACATAAAATTAATATAATTACAGCAAGATTATGATTTTTAAAATTTATTGTAAATACAAGTAGCAGTTACTGCTCTAAGTTTTGAATTAGTGGTTATTCAGAATACAGAACATGCTTTTCTACATTAATGAATATTAAAATCCTATATAATAAAAGGGTAATATGCAAATTGACTGAGTGGCAGAACGACCAGTTGCTATGACACACACTGACCACCAGGGGGCAGACGCTCATTGCAGGAACTGCCCCCTGGTGGTCAGTGTACTCCCATAGGGGGAGCACCACTCAGCCAGAAGCCTTATCATGGCTGGTGAGCACAGCAGCAGTGGTGAGAGCCTTTCCTGCCTCTGTGGCAGCTCTAAGGATATCTGCCTGCCAGCTTAGGCCCAAGGACTCCCAGACTACAAGAGGGCACAGGCCGGGCTAAGGGACCCCCCTGAGTGCATGAATCTCGTCCACCAGGCCTCTAGTTATCATTATAAAACTACATCTGGTTGAGGGTTTTGGGTCAAGATGGCAGTGTAAGTAAATGTGGTTTTTGCATCCTCCCACAACCACATTGAAATTACAACTAAAATACAGAAAAAAGCATCACTCAGAACTACCTGAAATCTAGTTGAACCTGAATGGAAGTCCTACAACTAAGGAATTAAACAAGAAACTACATCAAAACTGATAGGAGGGGTGGAGATGCAGAACAGGCTGGTCCCACACCCATGTGTAGTGGATAAAAAAGGTATATCTTGGCTACAGAAGCCCCCCACTGAGGAGCAAGGGGTTCCAGCCTCACACCAAGCCCACTAGCCCAGGGTTCCAATGCCAGGAAGAGAAGTCCTCATAACTTCTGTCTATAAAAACAGCAGGGATTGTGGCTCAGTGAGATGGAAGGCTGCTGGAGTCCCAGGCATTCCTCTTAAAGGGCCCATATACATGGATTTATTCAGACTCACTGGCTCTGAGCTCCAGCACTGGGGCAGCAGCTCGAAAGGCACCAGGTATATACAAGGATGAACTGAATTGTCTGGTGTCAGGGCAACAGCTGGAGGGGCAGCTTTGACAGAAGTATTGACAGAGGCCATTGTTTCTCTGATGAGCCCTGCTCCCACAGAGCAGGCAGGTGGGTACCATATCCGAGTCTCTATCAACCTGGCTCACACTGTTAGCCTCACCCTGGTGATTCCCTGAGACCCTGCCCCACCCAACTTGTGGGCTCACCCAAGCTTTTCCATACAAATGACCTGTCTTGGCTCATGCTTCCAACTTTCCTAAAACTTTCAAACAAGCAGCATCTGGCCTTGGCATGCCCTGTACCTCTTTGTATGTGGCCTCAGGCCTGGTACTAGTGGGAGCCAGCCTTGGTTGGCAGCTTGGCCTCTCCTAGGCACCTCTAAGTCCAGTACAAGTAGCATCCACCTGCAAATTGCTTTGTAGCTCATAATTGGTGGTCCCAAACTGAACACAGATGGTGGCTGACCTTGGCCAGCACCTCCCAGGAAGCTCCAGAGGCAGCACACCTAGTTGGCAGCTTCAAACCACGTTGACGCACCACCCAACCACCTCCACAAGCGACACACCCTACAATGGACTCAGCAGGCACGAGAGCCCTGTTAAAGTAAGTCCTGTTCTGTGGAGTGTGCCCCAGCACAGCTGATCTTCCACAGTGGGCACAGCCAGTCTTTGCAGCCAATGAGCCTAGGCATAAATCCCTCCCATTGACATGTCAACAACAATCAAGTCTCAACTGCAACAGAGGGTATACACAGGCACATGGGGGCACACCTGGAGTGTCTAGCTTGGGTGATCAAGGAGACTATGCCACTGGACCCTACAGGACACCTACTACATAAGGCCACTCTACCAAGCCCAAGAGACATACTAGCTCTACCTAATACATAGAAACAAACACAGGGAGGCTGCCAAAATGAGGAGACAAAGAAACATGTACCAAATGAAAGAACAGAACAAAACTCCAGAAGAACACTAAACACAATGGAGACAAGCAATCTACTAGATGTAGAGTTTAAAACACGGATTATACGGTTGCTCAGTGAACTTAGGGAAAGAGTAGGTGAAGTTAGTGAGGACTTCAACAAAGAGACAGAAAACATAAAAAACAAAACTATAAGACATAAAAGAGAGCCAGTCAGAAATAAAGAATATACTAATTGAAATGAAGAATACATTACAAGGAAACAACAGTGGAGTAGATGAAGCAGAGGATCAAATCTGAGATTTGGAAGATAAGAAAGCAGAAAACACCCAATCAGAATAGCAAAAAGAAAAAAGAATCCAAAAAAGGATAGTATACGGAACCTCTGGAACAATTTCAAGCACACCAACATTCACATCATGAGGGAGCCAGAAGGAGAAAAGAAAGAGCAAGGAATTGAAAACCTATGTGAAAAAATAATGACAGAAAACTTCCTAATCATTTTTCTGATTCCTGGGGCTTCCTTACAAGTTTCTTCCTAATGCTTGTTTTTAATCCTATCTAATAAAAGACAAAAAGGGTGATTAACCGTACCTCCACTATGCTTCCCATTGGCTAATCAGGGTGATATGCAAATTAACTGCCGAGAAAGATGGCTGTTAACTGCCAACAAAGATGGTGGTTAATTTGCATATGTAGGGGCCAAGCGATGGAGTGAAGCTGGCTGGCCCCAGGCAGGAGCAGTGAGCGAAGGTTGGCGTGGCGAGCGAAGAGCAAAGAGGGGGGCCCGCCTGCCATGTGCCCTGGCCACCACCACGCCCCCGGGGCCTGCGCATGGCAGGCTGGGGGCTTAGCTAAGGCTTAGTGCATACTCCCTGGTGGCCCCACAGCAGGACATCCTGGCAGACTCCTGACAGGCGGGGGGCTGGGAGAGCTGAGTGGGGCAGGGGCTGCAAGGAGCCATGGAAGGGCAGAGCAGCCAGAGCCAAGTTCCCAGGGGTCTGAGGAGAGTGCTTGACAGGAACCCAGGACTGCAAAGAAGGAAGAGGAAGCAGCCACAGGGAGCTCTTCCAATCCCCCTGCACGGACACCCTACCGCAGCCCCCATACCCCTGGGGGAACGGGGAGGCTGACCAGACAGGAGAAGACCCAGCTTTGGGGGAAGCTGCAGCCCATATCTCTGACTCCCGACGTCTTCCCCTGCCACCCCCGCCAGGGGCGCCCATAACAATAGCACGCCTGCGACAACCTGTCAGCATCCCCGAGGCACCTGAGGCCTGTGGCCTGCTGCTGCTGGGCCCCCTCCGCTGGGGCCAGGCACGCCTCTCCTCCCTACAACTCCAGACCCGGGTGAAGGCAGGCCTAAGCGGCCCTTCAGGGTCAGACTCATTCCCCCCCACACCCCTTCCCCGACAGCAGTGGCGCCGTCTCTGCAGCAGAAGTGCACTGAACCTTGTCGGGGATGCAGCTAAACCCACCCTCCTAGCCCACTAAGCAGTCAGTTGGACATCCCCCCAGGGCTCCCAGACTGTGAGAGGGCACAGGCCACACTGAGGGACCACCCGCCCCCCAGTGCACGAATTTCGTGCACCGGGCCTCTAGTAATAATAATAATAGTAGTGGTTACAGTATTAATAATCCTATATAATAAAAGCCTAATATGCTAAGTGTCTGGTCTTCCGGTAACTGGTTGACTGTTCAACCAATCAAAGCATAATATGCTAAGGCCACTCAACCACTCACTATCATGTGCACTGATCACTAGGGGGTAGACTCTCCGACTGGTAGGTTAGCTTGATGCTGGGCAAGATGGGCTGGAAATGCCCTGGAGTCCTCCTGCAGTCCCTCCCCAGCCCCAATTGTGCCCTGGTGGGGTCTCTCAGCCTGGCCTGGCCCCTCTCACCATCTGGAACCCCTCAGGGGGTGTTGGAGAGCTGGTTTCAGCCTGACCCCACAGGCCACTCTCCTGGGGAGGGCGCCAGATGCAGGGCTCATGGCTGGCAAGTACTGCTGCGGAGGCAGGAGCCTCTCCCAATTGGGACTGATTGGGCAGGAGCTCACAGCAGGCACAGTGGGGCCGGATGAGCAGGAGCGGCAGGTAGGAGCTGCAGCTGGCATTGGACTGTGGGTTTCAGTGCGATCCCCGCAGGCCACTCTGCGGGACCCCACCCATGCATGAATTTGTGCACAAGCCTCAGGTAACAATAATAAAATACAATAATAATTAAGATGAGCAGCAGCATATAATGAGTGCACCAGAAATTGATAAGCAACTGACACCTATTATTTAAGGGGTGTCCTTATTTTACATGCAGCTATTCCTGAGGAAGGGTCGGGTCACAGCTTTGGGAAGAGGCTGTATGCTGTTCACACTGGGGATCCTGGAGGCTTTGCTGTGCTGTCCACCAAGTGTTGAAGATGTTTTCAATTTCTAAGTGACTAGTCTTAGTAAATTTCATTGCAAGTTTTAATCAAACACTTATTTCTGAACCATGGGAATTCATCTTTCTTTTAAAGTAATTTTTTATATATAATGTTATTCATTTAATTAAACTTGACTTGAACTGGGAGACAACCCAAATTAGGTTATGAAGGAAACTACTTTTTTAACTATGAAGAAAAAATAATAGGATGAAATAAGGAGTCTCTAATAAGAATGAGACAACTTTGTGAACTATTTGAAACATCTCAAAATACCTCTTACCTTGTCAACTATAGACATGAAAAATGTTTTTCTAATATTTCCTAAGTCTCTAGAATGTTTTATATTTCCTAAAACTCTGTGTCTTAAAGAAAATAAATCCTTTTTATCACTTTTAGTTCTGTTTTTTGACCCATTTTTTCTTAAGCCTTTCCAATCATTTCTTTTAGTTTTTAACATCAGGAAATTATAATTTGCCTAAGAAAATTAACATAAATCTTTTATAAAATGGGTGTTTTCTTCACCTCTGCCCCCCAACCTCCAAACAATATTTTGTCATCCTTTGGAATGTTGTGGGAGTACTTAGCTTACTTCTGGGGTAGGTAGGCTTGATGTTAATCTGCAGGCTTTTATGCATCTGTAAAGCAGAAAAGCTACCTACACAGAAAGGCTCTTTGTAGCGGTCCACTGAAGACAATAGGAGCATTGAGAGACAATGAGGACGTAAGCAGCACTAGCTACTGCTAAGAAACTCTTCTGTGAGGTATCTGGTGCTGTGCTAAAAAAGATTGATAACATTATAAAAAGTGCAACTTTTTTGAATGCCACTGAATGTCTTCCCTTTTGAAGAAATGTTTGACTATTTTTAAAAAACTTACAGATTTTCTGATTTAAAAACACTTTAAAGTCTCTACCTTCGTAAACCCAGTCAGTTATTCCATTACTGATCGCATCTTCTCTTCCATCATGTGTGACCCTCTGACTTGGTGAATATGGATCATTTTTAACATAAATATCATTGTTCCAAACATATGCCTAGAAAAATAAAAAATAATATTGACATATAATTACATGACATAATATATTTTATCTTGAAGTTCAAGAAAACATTTATCAATTCTTTTATTTTAAAACAATATTGGTGTGCAAGTATAATGGTTACCTTAGGTTATTCAATTTGGGAAAAATGAAGAGTCATTTACTCCCTCCCCCTCATATTCTTAAATTATCAGTATACAAGCTACAACCCTAATTAATTTTAAGAATACTCTTAATATATTAAAAAGAAGAAGCTCACAACCACCACTATTTGGATGCTAACGTATATAAGAACACTGACCACTTCTATGGAATGATGTGTGCTTTGCATTTGTTCTTAGGGGAGGTGACTAAGGGAGTGCAGTTGCATGCTGGGAGGGAGAAGTTTAACTACAGGTAAACATTCCATCTTACTGTTTAGATTGGGAATTTAACATTCTCTTAGCTCTATAGAACATGCAGATATATCTATAGTGACACAGAGAAGGTCATAGAACTAGCAGAAAGCAGGTATGCTTTAAAAACACCCACCCACAAACTATAACAACAGCAACCACTCCCCATAAAAACATGTGCAAAAAACCCCCAAACAAACCGAAAGCACAATAGAGATTAGAATTTAAGAGTTAACTGAACATTTTCCCATTAAATAAACAATTTCCTAAGAGTAGTTCAGAGACTTTCAGGAATTGTGTTTACTATGTTAGACTAGTAAAATATTATTTTAGGCAATAATACTAGTTTTGGCTTCCTAAGTGTCTACTGTGCATCAAGATTAACAGCTTCTGCAGATGAGAGACTTGAACCATTATTCTTCTGATAGAAAAAAAGACTCACTAACCAATTTATGACCCTCTGGTGACCATCTGATCAATTGTGTGTCATTTGGAATTCTTTCTTCTGTTATCAGCTGCCTGGAAAAAAGATAAAAGGAAAGAACTACCAAATGAATAAATCACAGTGTTTTGTTTTGTTTTAATTATTACACTAAAAAAGCATAATATGTTTTTTGAGGAAGTCACTGACCTTTTATTTAAGTCATAAATGTCATATGAAGCTGTGTAGGAATGTCTCCATTTCTATAAAAGAAAATAAACATTTCAGGCTTCTGTGATTATGGATAGTTTTTCTACTTGCTATAAGAGCTCAAGATGACAAAGTAATAAAACGTATAATTCTCAAAGTTTATCTCTTCTTATAATTCTCTATTTAGATTCTTAGAATTTTGGAATTAGAAAAAAATCTTAGAGACCATCTAGTCCAAACTCCTCTGGATTTCATCTACAATTTTAACATCACCTTTGCCAAGGAGCCTTTCCAGGACCTCAGGAGGCTGAAGTGCCACTTCCCGTGTAAACATTATTCCTAGCACTAACCACAGTATATTAAGTTCACCTGTTTAAGAAGAATGCAAATTTTCACTTTTCAACCATTTTACTAGCAAAATATTTAAAATATCTATACTTCTAGCCCAGCCAACGTGGCTCAGTGGTTGAGTGTCAACCTATGAACCAGGAGGTCATGGTTTGATTTCAGTCAGGGCATATGCCCGGGTTGTGGGCTTGATCCCCAGTGTGAAATGTGCAGGAGGCAGCCAATCAATGATTCTCTCTCATCATTGATGCTTCTATTTCTCTCTCCCTCTCCTTTTCTCTCTGAAATAAATAAAAATATTTTTAAAAATCTATACTTCTATTGCTAGAGGTGATGTGGAGAAATGTTTACTTTTCTACACTGACCATAAAAATATGAAGTATTATAGATATTTTGAAAGCCACTTACCAATATATATTAAAATTGAAATACATATACTATCAATATTTTAAACAACCCTCTCAAGAAGATCAAAAATGAAAAGGAAACCAAATCTAAAGAAATCAGAAGAAATAATAAAGGTAAAAGCAGTAATCAAATAGAAAAAACAGTAGAGATAATTCACCAACGTCAAAAATTGGTTCTTTAAAAGATTAAAAAATGCTAACATAGTAAGTATGAGAGAAAAAAATGTATGAATGACAAATATCAAAATGGAAAATGATATATCACAACAGACTACAGACATTACAAGATTATAAGACCCTACTACAAACATTTTTTTGCTAAGAAATTTTAAGTTAGAAAAAGGGAAAATTCCTCATAAAACAAGTTATTAAAAATAAGACAAGAAAAAATGAAATATCTGAAGCAAAAATGGAAAAAAGATAAATATATATATGATTACAGATTCATATTTATGAAAAAATGTTTATATGTGGATGCAAATGTAAACTTAAAAAATCATTTATCTGAATGTCCATCTCCCTTACCATATTCCTAGAGGGAAAAAATTGTCTTCTATTCACCTTTAAAATACTAGAGGTTGGTCTAGTGGAACTGCATAGTATGTATTCAAGGAAGAAACACAATGAAAAGAAAAGTCAGATTTTATCTAGAAGGATGAAATAGATATGAAATAAGTTACCCAAGGACCCAGCTGTATAATGGCAGAGCTGAGACACAAGCCATGGTTCCTAAACTTGAATAATATTTCCCTCATATCATTTATCACCCTGTAACCTCTTATGTCAACAAATATTTATTAAGTCCCTACTTTTTGCAAGTTCTACATTCCTTTTTGAATCCTGGATTATTTTGACACACCCCAGGCTTGTTTCTGGGAACCCTCTGAGTATACTTGCTAGAGCCAAAAGGTGTGGTGCAGGCTAAAAACACAGAGATTTAAGAAGGTCTGAGATCATTTCAGGATGACAGATCCATCCCAGATTTTAAAAGGACACCCAACGCATTTGTAATGTTCACTTCATCTTTTGGAACAGACTCATCTATCTACACTAATAAAAGACAAACATGCAAATTGACCATATCTCCACTACACCCTAAGCCACGCCTACCAGACAATCAGAGCGACTATATGCAAATTAACCCAACCAAGATGGCGACTGGCAGCCATGAAGCTAGAGCAAGCAGGAGGCTTGGTTGCCCCAGCAATGGAGGAAGCCAAGCTTCCCACCTGCCATTGCCAGCTCTGAGCTCCACTCAAGGCAACAAAGTTTCAATTATAGAAGATAAATAAATCCCAGATACCTGCTTTCAGCCGGCTGTGCCCATGAAGCTGGAGCGAGCAGGAGGCTTGGGTTGCCCCTGGCGATGGAGGAAGCCAAGCTTCCCACCTGCCCTGGCCTGCTCAGAGCTCCACTCAAGGCTACAAAGTTTTAATTATACAAGGTAAATAAATCCCAGAATAAAACAAAAAAAAGGAGAGGCTGGGAGCTTCCATCGCTGGGGGGCTTGGACAGCCTGGAAATGGCCCTCAGCCCCTCACCCAGACTGGCCAGGCACCCCAGTGGAGACCCCCCAGCCATCAGCCCCTCACCCAGGCTGGCCAAACCTCCATGGGGTGAAGGTCCCACTGAGGGGGCTTGACCAGCCTGCAAACAGCCATTAGCCCCTCACCTAGGCTGGCCAGGCATCCCAGTGGGGACCTCCACCCTGAAGGGGGTGTGACCAGCTGCAAACAGCCATCAGCCCCTCACCCCAGCAGGACCCCCACCCTGATCCGGGACGACCTTCAGGGCAAACCAGCCGGCCCCCACCCATGCACCAGGCTTCTATCCTATATAATAAAAGGGTAATATGCAAATTAACCCTAACAGCAGAATGACTGGAAATGACTGGTCACTATGAAACACAATGACCACCAGGGGGCAGATGCTCAATGCAGGACTTGTCCCCTGGTGGTCAGTGCACTCCCACAGGGGAAGCTCTGTTCAGCCACAAGCCAGGCTGATGGCTGCCAGCACAGTGGTGGTGGGAGCTTCTCCCGTCTCCTCAGCAGCACTAAGGATGTCCGACTGCAGCTTAGGTCTGCTCCCTGCTGGTAAGTGGACATCCCCTTAGGGGTGCCGGGCTGCCAGAGGGATGTCTGACTGCCAGCTTGGGCCCAATCCCCCAAGGAGTGGGCCTAAGCCAGCAGGTGGACATCCTCCGAGGGATAGGCTGGGCTGAGGGACACCCCCCCCTCCCCCACCGAGTGCACAAATTTTTGTACACTGGGCCTCTAGTTTAGGATATAAACATTGGCAACTATCCCCTGTGAAGTATTATTAGATAAAACAGGCTCCCTATCTCTGAAGAGTTCATAGTTGAATGGGGGACATGAACAAGTGAATACAAGAAAAGAATCACAAAAGATTAAATAGAGATGGGTGGGGAGAGGTAGAATTCATAAATTGGGCCTTGGGGAGAGAAAAAGCCCTACAAAAGGTGATTCTTGGACCAAATTTCAGTGGCAGAGGACGTTCACACAGAGAAGAGGTAAATGAAAGCATTGTAGCAGAGAAAAATGGAAGCACAAAGATAGGAAAGATCACGGAGTCTTCTAACCTGGATTCAAGTCTTGCTATAGACTGAATATTTATACCTCCCATCCTTAAATCATATGTTGAAGTCCCCAATGTCATCATATTTGGAGGTGGGGCCTTTGGGTGGTGACTAAAATTAGCTCAAGAGGTTGGAGCCCTCATGAATGCATTAGTTCCCTTATAAGAGACTCCAGAGAGATTCTTTGCCCTGACCACCATGTAAGGATATGCAGAGAAGATGGCCTGTTATGATCCAGAAAGCAGCACCTCACCAGACACTGACTCTGCCAGCACCTTGATTTTGACTTCTCAGCCTCCAGACAGTGAGAAATAAATTTCTGTGATTAAGCCATCCAGTCTGTGGTATGCTGTTACAGCCGCTTAAATGGACTAAGATAAGTCTCTAAGGTGTAACAGCAGACAAGTTTCTCTCTAAGCTTCAATTTTCTCTTTATGAAAATGTCCACAATGACAACAATAATCTCATGTGAATTAGAATGCATATGAAGTGCTCAGAAGGATGAAATAGATATGAAATAAGTGAAGTGCTTAGCAAGGCTCCTGGAATTATCAATGTGTGATAGGTGAGGCTACTGTTTCTAGCGCATTAGGCAATGAGTAAAGATGGTAGGAGAACATCCATACCAGGCTGCATGGTATTTATTTATGTATTCACTTATATTTTATAGCCACTTAGAAGTGATCATTACTTCTTAAAAATATCTTAGAAGTAATAACTGATCTTTCTGGAAGCACTAACTCAGTCATGAAGAAGTCATGAAGTAGGATATAAAGAACACTGCATAGCAGACCTTCCAAGGAAATGGAATAAAATTAGACTAATTTTTGTTGTTCTGGATAGGTTTCTTGAGCATTAGTCAAAAAATTTATGCTGCACAGAAAATTCTATTGCATACTCTGGGAAGTAAAATAGATGTAGTTCTTTACTTTCAATAATCTTATATTTTAGTGTTTTGCAATAAATTTATGAAGAAAGTAAAATAAGCTAACATGTTAGAGAGTAAATGGTGCATTGTGGGGGAACAGAGTGACAGAGGGCAATGTTAGACAGAGTGATCCAAACCAGCCTGGACCTGAATTACTAAAAAGGGAGAGCCAGTTGATGATTGGGGAAAGAAAGTTCCAGAAGAAAGCAATGGAAAATACATTGGCCCATAGGTAGAAATGAAAGTAATGTTTGATTAAAATAAAAAGCTGTGTATTTAAAGGTTCTTAACTTTGGATCCTTGGGTCACCTGGGAGTCCTTAAATCTACCCATGCCTGGGCCCATCCATGGGTATGCGGGGCTAATTGGTGAGGGGTAGGTTACATGCATCTGTATTTTTAAAAACCTCCTCAAGTCATTCTAAGGGGCACACAGGAGGAGAAGCACTGGCCAACCATAGTGAATGCAGAGAGAGTTGGTAGGAGATGGGTTCTGATGGGCAGAATGGGGTCCAATCACACAGGCTTCTGAGGATGCTGTGTTAGAGTCTGAGCTATTGGAAGCCAATGATAATGAGGATTTAAGCATAAACATGATATAATCTGACTTAAAAGCTCTTGGATACTGCCTGACAAGCATGGATGGCAGGAGAAAGGAACAGAGTGAAAATAGAATAAGCAGTTAAATACACATGTATATTCCAGTGACATGACAAATACAAATTACCAGTGAGGGCTGTCCAGCTAAGGTCCACCAGGGAATACCCATTAGTGCACTTCAAATTAGTGCACCTGCTGAGCTTGGCTACATAGTAAATTGAGTTGGCAGTTACTATTCCATTTCTATCTTAACCTCACAGTCTTTATATGTTAGTCTTTAACATAGGCCAATGTCATTCAGTGGTTCACAACCTTGATTGCCTATTGGAATAATCTACAGATTGAAAAAAATAATAGTGATGCTGGCTTCACTCTAAAGACTTCAACTCATTGATTTGAGCATTGAACTTGGACACTGAGAATTTTGTAAAACTCCAGTGATTTTAATACATAGACAGCAGTACAAACCACTGAATTAAACAAACAATAATCCATTAATAGGGAACAGATGTGCTAAAATTGGCATAGAATTCTGATTTGCTCATAGTTGATAAGTTTAGCAGAACATAGTCATCTAGTCTTCATGTCCAGGAAATGGAGCCCAGCACAGTGAATCCAGGGTAAATATTATGATTGGGAGTCACCATCCCAAAATAGGAAACGGAATATGGGATGGTTTGCTTGGCCCGAGTACAGCAGCATTGGTGTTTGAGATAAGGTATTTATACTAATATTTATCATTTATTCTAGAAAACAAGCAGAGATGGGGATCCCCAGCTTAGTATTTTTTTTCAATGCAGGATATCTCTACAGGTTTTTGGTTTTTCTTACGTCTCACAACTTCCTATACTTCCCATCCTGTTGTCAAATCCACGAATAACCCAAAAGCTGAGGTTAAAGTTACTGGTGCTTTGCAGCCATCCCAAACATGAAGAGGATGTGTGATCAAACTGTAACCTTTCCATGAATGTGGGAGAATTTGATGTGGGGCTGGATGACTGGGGGAAGCTAAGTGTTCTTATAGGGATGGGGCTCCCCTTTAGAATGGGGTGTATATGGTGGGACAGGCAGGCTGGGGAGTGGTCTGGGTCACCTTTCAGAGTCTCTTCTGAAGGAAGAGAAGTTTAATTTTTTTCAAAGCAAATACTTATTGAGAGTTTTACTGCATGTAAAGCTGAGACAAAGAAAATAAGGAGTTATATTACTGGATGTTCAAGTCAGACATGCAAACTTACTTTTCAATTATAAGTTCTATTTTGTTATGTTTTTAGTATCTATATTATATTACCTATACTTTTTAGTATTTGCAAATACTCAAATAAATGTCTTTTAAAACATTTTTTGGACTTATGAATGAGAAGCATTTCTCCTCCACAGGCTGCTTTTAGTGCCTGCTATATTACTAGGTATCAATCTTAAATGTACCAGTACATATCCTGGAAATCAGTTATAACATAACATACTCTTAGGATTCTTTAAATGTCACAATAAGAAAACATTTATGTTACCTTCACATAGTTGTACTCGAAGAGAACAAACTGTCTATCAGGAGACACTGAATAATCACTTATAGAATGTCCAAATTGATCCTGCCAATCAAGTAGAAAAAAGAACAATTAAACAATCCCATTTAACTGCCATTTATTGAGCACTTACTATGTAGAGGGTATCGCTTTAGATATGTGGCTTGTGCCTTGGGAGCTTACAATCTGGAAAGATGGCACATTCCTCCACACCAATGACCATGATGAAAGGTGGATGGTGATCAGGGTTAGAGAACCAGGGAGGGAAGGATTAATTTTAATGAAGAAAAGACAGCTGTGAGGGTGGGGATCAGAAACAGAGAACTTTCTTGGTAGGGGGAACAGCATGAGCAAAAAGGGTATATATATATATATATATATATATATATATATATATAAAATTGATTTTTACAGAGAGGGAGGGAGAGGGATGGAGAGTTAGAAACATCGATAAGAGAGAAACATCTATCAGCTGCCTCCAGCACAACCCCTACTGGGGATGTGCCCGCAACCAAGGTATATGCCCTTGACTGAAATCGAACCTGGACGCTTCAGTCCTCAGGCTGATGCTATCCACTGAGCCAAACTGGTTAGGGCAGGGTATGCATATTTAAAGACTGTCTAAAGGTTAGGTGTAACATGAATACTAGTACAGTATATGGTACATCAGACAAAATACAAGCTAAGAGGACATAAAATTATAAAAATAGCTAGGACTTAAATATAAGAAGCAGAAATATGACTATTTTTGCAGATGAATTTGCTAGAATCTTATCTGTTTTTTACAAAGGTGCTCTGGTGACACAGTGACTGAGATGAGATGAGAGGGGTTGTCTCAGCCCTGGATGTGGGCAATGCAATGATCTGGTCTATGGTTTGGAGAGACGGACACACATTAGAATACTCACTATGACAAGATGAAACAAGCCTTGAACCAGGACTCTACAGTGAAATGGAAACCTGAGAGACACTTGAGAGGTTTTGTTGATTAGCTAAATATGGGGAGGAGCCAAGGAGGATTGGCTTGTAGGAGAGCACTATTTACCAAGATAGGGAACTCAGGAAGAGGAGCAGGATGCTCTCAGTTTGCTAGGAGAGTGAAGGGAAAATAACTAGTTTAGTTTGGGATACTGAGTTTAAAATGCCTGCAGACCATTCGTATACAGAAACAAGCAAGCTATTAGAAACAGAGGTTTAGATCATGAGAGGAGGTTAGTGTTACAAGTGTATACTGGAGAATCAAGGCCAGAAAGAGAATGCTGAGGTTGTGGAAGGGCATGGACTTTACTGAAGGAGAGCATGCAAAGTGAGGAGAGGGGCCAGCCAAGTGAGGAGAGGGGCCCTGAGGACACTTACATTTAGGAGTATGGGCAGAGGAGGAGGAATCGTCAAAGGAGACTAAAAAGTAGCCAAGGCAGGGAACATTCCAAGAAGGAGAGAAAGATCCACTGTGCCATATGCTGCAGAGAGAGTCCAACAGCATGAAAAGATAGTACTCAGAATTTAAAAGGTTATGAAAAAAATCCCCAGAATTTCCTTAAAGTATGAATTAATTATGTGATTAAACATACAAATGTACTGTTCTCCAAGAAAGTGGAGCTGTTTCCATGGTCAGCATTGAATAGCAAGACATTATTTTCTTGTTTGTAGAGATATTCATGGTCTAAAGAGAGAAAACGACCAGATCAATATTTCAAGTTGCTATTAAACATCTTCATAAGCTAAAAATTATGCAATAAAAATTTAAGATTCAAGTTTGCACAAATACTAAATAAGCATTTCTAAGTTTAAAAAAACATTAAGTGATGACTATTACACTGGTATCCATTCACTTGTCCATGATTTTTGTGAAATAAGCTTTCTAGCTTAACTTCCTTTGCACCCTTAGGTAGAAAAAGATTCTCTCTTATATGGTTTTAAAAAGCAAGAATATCTTCTCAGTACCATAAAAGTGCTCCACAACCTAATTGGAATGAATATAAGCATAAAAATTCGCCCCCTTCCCCAAAAAATCCTTACCTGAAATCCACCGCAAGTTGTAGTTCTTCATTCTAATAGTACTTTTTAAATAATCAGTTAGAGTGTAGGTCCTGCGATCATCAACTATAACATCATCTGTTGGTTGAAAAAAGAGCCAAATGTTTAGTAAGATGGAATAGCCTAATTTTTGCATAAAATAAACAAATGGGTCTCTACAATATACTGGTTACAAGATACAAAAATATACTCACAAAATGCAAAGCACATTTTGAAAGATTTCGAATTGGGTGGATGGAGTGAAAACGCATTTAACCATTAAAGAGTATGTGAGTGTATGTTTCACCATATATTAGTGACCTTCATTATGAAGGTCTAGATTAGTGATGTTCAATCTATACTAATAAAAGGGTAATATGCTAATTAGACTGGATTGACCGGACATCTTCTGGATGTCCGACTTCCTTCCGGACAAAGCCATGATGGTGGGGGCTGAGGCAGAGACGATTAGGGGCAATCAGGCCGGCAGGGGAGGGCAGGTAAGGGAGAGATCAGGCCGGCTGGGGAGAAAGCAGTTAGGGTGATCAGGCAGGTGGGGGAACAAGCATTTAGTGGTGCAATCAGGCTGGTGGGGGAGCAGTTAGGGGGCAATATGGCAGGCAGTACAGCAGGGGCGCAGTTAGGGGTGATCAGGCTGTCAGGGGAGCAGTTAGGGGCAATCATGCAGGCAGGCAGAGGTGATTAGGGGTGATCAGGAAGGCAGGCAGAGTGGTTAGGGGTGATCAAGAAGGCAAGTAGGTGAGCGGTTAGGAGCCAGCGGTCCTGGATTGCGAGAGGGATGTCCAACTGCCGGTTTGGGCCTAAACCGGCAGATGGACATCCCCCAAGTGGTCCCGGATTGGAGAGGGTACAGGCCAGGCTGAGGGACACCCCTCCCCTCCATTCACAAATTTCATTCATTGGGCCTCTAGTAAAGATACAATGTAAGTACACTTTCTAGTGAGCCTTATTAAAAATTTTTAAGATGAAATTAATTTTAACAGTATCTTTTATTTAATCCAATATATCCAAAATATCACCATTTCAATGTGTAGTCAATATTTAAATGCTATTACTGGGGTCTTTAACATTCTTTTTTAAATGCTACATCTTTGAAATCTGGTATATATTTTACGATTACAGCATATACTAGTTTGATTAGGCACATTCCCAGCCAATAGCTGCTTTCTTGAGGCCCCGAGGTCTCTTTTAATCCCTCTCCCAATGCACAGACCTTTAAGACATGCTCATTACCCAATTCAGGGATCTTTGGTTTTATGGTCACTTTTCCTTAACTTGGTGGAAGTTTTCATGAAACCTTGCCCTTGATTCTGTAACTCTTCAGCTGTTCTGACTCATTTACCGTTACTTTTTCTATCTCCTGCTTTGACTCAATGTTTCTCCATTGACCTCTAAGGCAGAAATGCTTTGATACTCAGCCTTCAGCTTTCTGTGCTTCTCTCTCTATATTATTCCTTCCAGAGAACTCCGAAGAATGTGACTTCCTGAATTTTAGGCATATTTTCCATTTAAATAAATGACAAAATCTGTACTCATTACCACACCCCAAATACATTTCCCGTGCTGTGTTGAGGTTTCTTAGTTGACTTGTCCCATGCTTAATCCTATACCTACCTTATCTAAAAGTATTGTCTTCCTTCCAAAACTAGTTTTCCCTAGAGAGTTTGTGTGGTTTTAAATTTTTTACTGGTGACCCAAATTCAAAATCTGAACATCATTTTTGATGTCTCCCTCTCTTTTACCATTATCCCCATCCACACAATCCTCTAGAGCAACAGTTCTCAACCTGTGGGTCACGACCCCTTTGGGGGTCGAATGACCCTTTCACAGGGGTCACCTAAGACCATCGGAAGACACATATATAATTACATATTGTTTTTGTGATTAATCACTATACTTTAATTATGTTCAATTTGTAACAATGAAATTGGGGGTTACCACAACATGAGGAACTGTATTAAAGGGTGGTGGCATTAGGAAGGTTGAGAACCACTGCTCTAGAGTCTTCCTGTGAAACCTTTTTTCCCAGGTATCCCTGGCATAGGTTTCTCTAATCCAATGCTTCCACTGCATAGCCACTAGAATCTTTCAATGATTCGCCACTGCCTGCAGGAAGATTCATACTCCTCAGCCTGGTATTTGTGGCCTCCACAATCTAGCATGAGACTCCCTTTCCAACCTCATTTCTACTCTCTCCTGCATGAACCTTCTTACCTAGCTACACTGATCTGCCTACTGAACCCAACAGATCTTCTGAGGCTTTTCTGCCTCTGTTTCTTGGCCTAAGCCACTTCCCTGCAATGTCTTCAACTGCTTCCTTGGCTGTGGCAATGCTCCACCCTCCAATTCCCACCTCTTCACAGAAACTTCAATTCTACCTTCTCTGACTTTTGCCCCACACTGCTCATTTGGCTCTTGTAACAATGACCTGCACTGATAACTGTTTTTCCAGGCCTACCAGCCTACCTGTGTGGTCTCTACACAGGTAGGCCATGTAGGGCCTTATGAATGTATGTACGTATGTATTGCATCCATCTTAGCTCCTAGCACAGTTCTATGCCATAGTAAGTAGGCACACACACAAAAAGGTTTTGTTTTTGAGTGACATAGGATATATTCCAACAAGCATAGTCAAGACAATGTGATTCTTCTTCCTCAACCCCAGATCTTCCACTGATGACAAACAGCCTAAAGTCTTTTTTTCCAAATTCTCTACTGTTTCCACATGCAAGCAAACACACACTCACAAAAGCAACCACCATCATAATATTCCTACAGTGGCAATTCTTACTCTTTGGGGATTGTAAAGCTAGCAATACCTTCTCTAGTTAATTTTTTACAGCCTTTGGAAATGTTATTCTCTTATAGGAAATCCTCTTTCAAAATCTATTCTTAAGACTTTATTTCTTTTGATCTTATCACACAGTCTTGATTCTGCCTATGAAAGCTTTAGTTTTAAACAGATAAATTTGCAACACTTTGCTTCATTACTCCATGGATTTAAACCTAGTTTATTAATTAAGTAAAAGAGGTTTGTTTTTTTAGAAAAAAAAACACCTTTCTTTTTTTGTTTTTTTTCAAAATTAGGTCTGCATTTCACCTCTGAAAGTTAGTAAGATATTTATGTTTGTAAGCAGAAATAGAGCGAATGAATATAACCAGCCTTTGGATTTGTCAACATTCAAACAAGAGTAAAGCCTTGGGCCACAGAAAATATTATGTGAAACTTATATTGGACTATAAAACTACAAATCTAGATTTGTCCACTAAATGCCCTCAGTTGTTTGTATTCATTCAATCAGTCTTTCATACATCAAATAGCTATAAAGTGAGTACTAAAAATGCTGTTGAGAATATATAACCTGCTACCAAGAGATATTAGTCTAACATATACATAACACCCATCCCTAAATTAGTATAAATCAAAATATAAATGGTTATAGACATTCACAGTCCTAATGTTATCTGCTACTGCTTATGTCTAGATAGACCTATACTTACAGCCTACCTCACTTTTTTTTGCATATACAGCAATGGACTGAATGTTTGTGTCCCACAAAAATTCATATGTAGAAATTTTAACCCCAACGTGATGGTGTTTGGAGATGAGGCCTTTGGAAGGTGATTAGGTCATGAGAGTGGATTCCTCATGAATGGAATTAGTGTGCTTAGAAAAGTGACTCCACCATGTGATGCCACAGGACACAGACCCTCACCAGACACCAGACACTGAATCCGCAGTGCCTTAGACTTCCCCATCTCCAGAACTATGAGAAATAAATGTTTGCTGTTTAAGTCACCCAGACGATGGTAAGCTGATACAGCAGCCTGAATAGACTAAGTTGTATATATAAAAAGCAGACATATCCCCACAGAACATCTATCACAGATTCTTGGTTTTGTAAGAAGAGAATGAATTGAGTATCTCTAATAGATCACACACAGTATTTACTCAGGTTTCCCAGAATAATACAACTACATCTGAAATATTGTTAATTGAGGTAAAATTCCCTGTGCTGTCACCTGCTGCCCAGAGTGCTGCTCTTCTCACTGAGCACTTATCTACCCTCCTCAGACACTGCTGGGCTCCTTTTCCGTTAGGCCATAGCTTTTCTAAAGCCATCCTCTCTACCATGCTCAGCCTCCTTTCTGCTCATAATGGGCCCAGCGTGATTTTGACCCATCTGCTCATGTTCCAGATATCAACATGGATGCCACACTCTTGCTATGGCCCATGACACCCATGCCAGGCTCAGGTCCCCTTGTTCTGTGTTCTGAGTGTGAACCAACACTCAGCTCCTTTACAATGACCCTGCGAGTCAGCTTCCATATCCTGGCTACCCAGCCCAGAACAGCGCTGCTAAATTGGAGCAAGTAGAGCAACAAATGTTCCTTGTTTTTTGCCTTGCCATTTGATAAGCAGTGTGCATTGGAAGACACTTGTGAAACATCTAGCTAAGCGAGTTCTGTGAGATGTGAGTGCCAAGTCCAGGTTTTGACCTTTAGCAAGTTCACAGTTGGCTGCCAAGTTACAACCTATTCTGTCAAACAGAGGACATGCCCACGTCTCTCCTTCCTGTCTACTTGCTCACTGACAGGGCGCTGCTGCGGCGACAGATGAAGGGCTTTGGCTGCTTGTGTGGTTTTCCTGGTGGGCCTGGGACATGTCGTTCATTTGACTTATCAGTTCAAAGCACTGTGCTAGCCAAGTAGAGCAGTTAATCATATGTTATCCGTCAGCATATATAGAAACTCTCAGATTCACATTAAAAATAATTTAAATTTTCTTCAATTTAAAAATTAAAAAAAAGGCTAACAACTTTATATTCTACTTCTTGGATGAGAGCAACCAGTAGGTTGAACCATAGGAAAATGCCATTTTTTATCAGTCAAAACTGCTTTAGCATAACAGCTTCCAAAATGATTCAACCTGAGGATGAATTCTCATCAAAGTGTGTGGTCATCTAATGAATCCTTGCTATGGGATCAAAATCATTTCTGAGTACAAGTAATTCCAGAATGGCAAGATCCAAGTAAGAGAGTAATGTCGTCCCATGGAATAGTCTTGCTTTGATCAG